GGTTTTGAGAGCCACATCAAAGGAGTAGCTCTGGGGTGAGAACTGGTCAACATGGGCCAGATAAGTCATGGTTTTAGTGCTGAGAATTGTTCCCATGACAGTCATGGAGAGATGGCACATTGTGTTTCAAGTCTGTTTTCTTGGGGTAGCACACAGGCTTTATTCTGTTCAATGATTCAGCACTGATGGACTCACGATATCTTTTGCTGAGCTGTGTGGCCCATCAAGCCTTCTTTCAGTAACAGTAAAGGATGTGTGTCACCGTAGGCTATCATGAACTTGATTACCATGCTGCACTGAGGTTCTGATAATATTACCAAACCTGACCATTTGAACTATTCGTTTTATATTTTGACTGGCAGAAAGATGTCAACATCATAAAATAAATCTAATAGTGGTTGCTTGTCAGACAAAAGTATTAATTGACTTAGTTCCCATTTAGGGGTAGTTTGTGGTTGTGACAGAGAAACACATTTTGGTGCGAGTAAAACATGGTCTGCATGCATCTATGTTTTGCTCTAATGACTGTAAATACATCTCTGCCATCTGCCAGATTCTCAAAGAAGTCTACTAAAAGTAGCTGGTCAGGGGCTGGGGATATACCTCAGTTGGTAGAACGCTTGCCGAGCATGCACAAGGCCCTGGGTTCTAATCCCATAAGTACCTTAAAAAAAAAAAAAGTAGCTGGCCAGGACAGACTGGCCAGGATAAGGGCCTTCTCTAACAACCTGGTCCGGACAAAGTCTACAGAAAGGCCCCATGAGACACATTGCTTGGTTTAAAAGAAAGAAACAAACCAACCTCTTAAGGTTCTCTGTAATTAGGGAAAAGAGTTTTAAAAAAAAAGTGCTGAAAGATCTAGGATTATTGTATGGTAAATAATATCCTGCTTGATAATTTATAATCAGGAAAAAAGGAGTTAACTCAAGACACTCGGTTGTTCATAGGAGTGTATGAGTAATTATAAATTTATCACCTTTATACAAGTGAAACATTCAGAATAATAGTCAATCTTTCCAAAAATACATTTTCTTTCCCATGAGAAAAAAATGAATTTGTTTTCAAAATAAGGAAAACACAAAACGATTACAGTGCAAACACGATGGAAAAAATTTTAAGAGTTCCCCTGCCCAACTTATTCAACCTCTTTACATTCCTTAAAAAAGCTTATAATACATTTTATTACTCACAAGTATAATTTGATATGAAATAATCTCGTTGCTCTCACAAACTGACAGACTGACAACAGAGGTCAAGCAAACTCAATATTTAGTTTATAAAAGGCTGATACCCGAGAAGCATGTAAAAATGTCTCTGAGACTAAGATTAATACACACACATACACATACACACACACACACACACACTCACACACACTCACTCTTAATGGCTATAGAAAACATTTTTAATTATAGGCTAAAGAGTTTAGGTTAATTTAAACCCTAATATTGAGAATTGCTTAAAAGTGAGCAGGTTACTGGGCAGCTCAGTATAGGTCAAACAAAGAATGTTGTTTGATGACATGATAGACCTGAAATGTTTAAAATTCAGAATAATCCATCATTAAAAACAAAAACAAAAAAAAAACCTCTTTTATATTCAGTGGAAGAGTAGGGACTAATCCCCCCCCCCCCAAAACTCATTTTTCTTCCTGCTTTGTCTTAGTTCGTCAACATTTTGCCTCACCTTTGTCAACCACATTGAGTGAGACTGTAGAATGTTATCTGGTAGACTTTACAGAGCTCTGGTAAATTCACTGATGAAGATAAGATAGGTATAACTTGCTTGGAGTTTAAACTAGAGAACTGCCCAAAGAATCTTTCTGTTGTGTTGTATTATAGAATAAACTGGAATTTCTTACTTTTCCATCCTTTCACATACTGAAAAGGTGAGATGCTGGCGTTTATGTTAATATTACAGATACATTCACCCTTGCCATCAGTCCAAAGGGATTGCACACAGGTTGGAATCCTAGGGTTCCAAACCTTGGGTCAAAACCCACAGCCTACAGGCCAAAAGTATGGGCTGAAGTGTCAAACAGGCCTAAGTTCAGTCATAGTTCCACCTGTTAGATAGGATATGGAGAAATCAACATCGTGTTTTCCAATTCCTAATATACAAATAAGTATATTATTACCTACTTCATAGGAAAATCATGTTTAAATGAGGAAATAGATTTCAAACACTCAGCATGAGGCTTAACATAGAAAACCACCAAATAATATTGGTAGTAGTACCACAGCTGATTTTCTGTCTTAGCCATGTCTTACAGAGGGTGCTGGTTCCTTATAGTTACAGCAGAGGATCTGACCAGCCTTATTATTTTCTTTTCCTTTGAAGTAAGAAGTGAGGGGACCTTGGTGCCTACACAATCACTTCCCATATGCTCTGGCCCCTCGCACCAGATTGTGTAAGCTCAGGGGCTTTTCTTTTTTTTAATATCTGCCATCGAAGTTCAAAGACTTATCTTTCCAAAGAATATCAGCTATATTCACAGTTTATGAGGTCATGTTTGCTGCAATGCTTTGTTGTAGTTGCTAAACCATTCACCACCCTAGTCATTGCTTAGATCTTAAAAGAATTATAAGAGGAAGCCAAACTCCACTCCAGTAAAACTCAGAATAAAAGTGGTCCCACTGGGCATCTGAAACCTGAAAAACTAAAACAAACCAAACAAACAAAACTATCCTTAGATTACTAAGCATACAAAGTCAATGTAGATTCTTTAACTTCACCAGGACCCTATCCTAATGATATATTTTAAAGGTAAGCTAAACAAGCCAAATTTTAATCCATGAATACCTCTAGCCATGGATTTCTAAAATTGCATTCATCATCAGTATATTAATATATTGCTGCAAATCTAAGGTGCATTTTTTTCATTTTTACATTATGATCAATGTATAAAGTTATGTTGTGGCTCTTTTCCTTAAAACTTGATCTTAGGCCAGTAGGATATCTTGCAACTGATAACGTCTTAAACATACAAGAATATGGAATTCTAACATCATATTGCTCTGTGATTACTTGTACTTTGTTATAACTTTATGATGAACAAAAAGAACAAGTCAAATACACAAGATAATCCAAAAGCATTCATTATTGCTAATACCTTTGCACACATGGAAATGAGAGCCATAGGTTTAGCTAATACTTGGATTTTTTGTTGTTAAATTACTTTTTAAATCCCTTATGTTTCTTCAAATATACTAGGAAATATCTTATTTGTTTTAGCAAAAGTTCTCAAGAAGAACAAAAAGCCTTCCCCACCAATTCCCAGAAACCCCTTTTTTCCTCTCAACTGTGCCTCCTTCTTTTCAGTGTCCCTGCAAATATCTAGGGCAGCAACATACCTACCTGTCAATGTTAAATGTAGGATTGTACTTTCATATGCTCAAAGATTATCTTAAGGAACACTGACTACACACTACTCAAAACCTGACACATACAGTGCAGTGCTGGGTAAACAACAGTTACTCAATAAATACCTTCTAACTTACTGATGTGAAATAGAGAACTGTGTTCTAGTTGGGCATACATAAAGCTATTAAAAGAAGGATAACTCAAATTCCCCAAACTGCTGCCTTTTCTTTTTATCTAACTAAAATCTCTATGAATTAATTTTGAGATCCACTTTTACACAAATAAAGGTCACCAATAAATCAAACCATAAAAGTTCTTTCTTTTCCCCTGAAACCAGTTGAAAGGACATAATCCCTTTTTAATTTTGGTTACATACATGAAAATTACCATACTTAAAAGTGGTACACCTCTTCACAGCACACTTGAATGAAAGATGGTAAACTCAATGATCTGGTTAATATAAATAATGAAATGTGATTTAAAAGCTAATGACATGAAACACTTGTCATGGACCAATAAATTTGAAGCTACTGAAATTACTGACAAAGATTATTTTAAGGAACACTGACTTATCGACTATGAGGCAAGTAGGTTTGCAAACATTTAATCCATTAAACTGAAAAATAATAACCCATATTTTATAACTGGGGAGGAAACAATGTAACAGAAGAAATGAGGGAAGGAGTAGGAAAGGGGATTATCTTAAAATATTTATTTCCAATTTTAAAAAAGTTCTTGATCTTTAAAGCAGTTTGTATTTGAAAAAAGGAAAAACTGTTCTCTAAATGCTGTCATTATACCAAGCACAGAACTGACTTTAAGATCTTAAAAATTACTTAATATGACTATTGTTCATAAATCATTAAAAAACAAACTTCAGAGCTGGGAATGTAGCTCAGTGGTAGAGTGCTTGCCTAGCATGCATGAGGCCCTAGGTATCAAAAAAAAAAAAAATAGCCCCAAATTACCTACTTCCATCACAACTATCTGAAGGCATCAGATCCACAGGGTTATAGACAGGAGGAATAAGATGATTTGCAACTACTTCTTTTTAACCACTTATTGGCAGAAAAATAACTCTCTTTTTACTTTGAGCATATTGATATATATAAGAAGAATTTTTTATTTCTTTTCACTTTTTTGGTCCAATGGCTTCAGGAACTTTATATCTTATTTTAGATATAAAGATCTTATTTTATATATCTTCACCAGAGGGGACAATACCCACAACAGATCCATATCAACAAAATAAATGTTCTGGATGCATGCATATGCCTATTATGCAGTTAGGTGATGTTTATAGACACTTTACAAATATTTTTGAGTTACAAAATGCATTACATATTCTAGATCATTATCCATATGAGGTATTCTCACATTTGGAAGTATTGAATTTGCACTTTACCAAGAATTATGGTTAATACTAAACGGCAAAGGAAAATAAACACTTCTTGCCTCCAAATGTCTCCTCTGCCTATGTTTAATTGACTTATAAACTCATATAAATGCTATTTCAAGTGAGCTGTGAATTATACCAAATGATTTTGAAATATATATAGAAAAGCCATGTAAAGGAAGGCCTCACTTGAAATTCATATCAACTTTCCATCTGAAAATCAAATCATCCACATAAAAAATAGTCAAAAAGAACTTCATTTAATTAGTGAAATGTAGACTTTTGCATAGAAAGAGGTTACAAAGTAATGCGAAAAAGACTAGGTACAGTAATTTTAAAACAAATATTTAAAAGTATTTTTGCATAATGTTTAACATTTTCATGTTTATTGCTTTCTCCACACAGCAGAGAAATGAAGTGCATAATAATACATGCTGTGTTTTTAATCTTTCAAATATAAAAATCTCACGTGCTCAATTTCAATGTATTAAGAGATTATTTTGCCATTAAGCAAAAATCTAAAAAACAAAACAGCATTATGTAGTACTAGTCTAGGCATGGGCAAAAATAATTTATGTACATCCCATTGCATACATTCATCTTGATTTGGGATCAAATGTGATCACTAACTTGAGCAAGAATATTTTAAAACTGTGGTTTTTCTCTTCCCAATGTTCTCTCCTTTTCTCATCACCTCCAGAAATATATCTCCCCAAAAGGTGACAAGATCAGATGTTACATGTTATGTGGAGAAAATGAAGAGGATAAATATATAAAAATAGTCCAAATGAAACTGAATAAATTAATCCAAAGTCTTGCAAACTGGAGGGTTTCCAAGTTGGCATGAATTGGCCTCTGGTAGGCACACAGTAGGCAATTGCTTCTAGATGCACTATATAAATGTAAGGTTTATATAAAGAAGCACCGTATTTTGAACCATCTAAAAAAATTGCCTGGGGGCTTGTAGGCAGAGCAGAAATGCTTGTTCTGATGGAATAATTGTTTCTACCAATTCACTGCTAAATGTTACTGCTTGGCAAGTCTGTACAAAGAAAGCAAACTAAGATCAAACTAGGTCTTTCAACTTGAAAATAATTTTCAGCAATCTTTTTGACCAATAAAAACTGTTGGTTTCAACAGAATATTCTGGCATTGTCTGCAGCCTAATGCAAGACTTCTATTCCTTTCCTTTCTTAACCTAATGCCTAGACTCTTCTTGTGCAATGTTGCATGTACAGAAGAAAACCTTCCTTAGCTCAGGCACTTATGAAAGATGGATTTCTTTTCCCCATCTAGGTTCCAGAGAATTCAGTCATGACATTTTTCTTCCCCAATTCGGTTGTGCAGATGCACATGTAACTGAATGTTACAGTCCATGTATTTTTCAGAAAACTTTTAATGGAAACAAGTGTTGAGTTTTCAAAAGTTGCTGATGTCGGTTCGGTTACCAAGCTGCCTTAAACAAAAAAAGAAAAAAAAGATAATACCACATTTCCACTCGTGAGGTTTGTGTCTCAAATAGCTTTATTGTTCCTTTGTGGATCTGTAGGTATCTGTATGGCTACCTTCATGGTGCAGAGGTTTTAAGCCGACTCTGAAATGAAGAACATTCAATTACAATTGCAAGAAGTTCAAGCATAACTTAAAAAGCTCCAACTTCTGTCCCCCAGGGTCGGTAAGGTTTACTGTTTGTTCCGCTGCTTGTCTGCTGGGGACTGGACGTGGCTGACACTGATAAGGGTGGGCTGATTGCTGTTGCTGCTGCCACTGCTGCAGCTGCATTTGGGGGGAGCATGGGAAATGCTCCCGCGAAGGACAGAGGGAAGCTGTGTGCAGCTGCAGTGGCTGCTGCAGCCGCAGCATGGACGGTAGCTGAGAGGGACAAGAGAGAGGTGGAGAGAGGTGGCACACAAGGGGCGACGCTGCCGGTTGATGGCATTCGAAGGGCAGAATCTGCATGGGCAAATGTGGCCGTGAGGAGGGCAGAGCCATGGGCAGGAGGCACTTCTGAAGTTGTAGAGAGGCGACAAGGTGTTGACTCCGAGGCATGGAGTCCGTTGGGTTGGAGCAAGGCCGCAGGAAGATGGTGGAAGGCTGCTGCCCAGTGATGTGGATGAAGGGAGTGATGGTGATGGGCCATTGAGGATGTCATTGCGGCTGCCTCCCGCTGGGAGGCGCAAGTGCTGAGATGAGATACGAGGCGCACGCGCAGTGGATCTGAGGAGTCCAGGCCTTCTACAGAGCTTAGGTATCTGGCCACTTCTGTCAGGCACTCTCGGAATCCAATACTCATGAAGTCCATGGCAAGGGCATGGGCGTCAAAGTAGCCTAAAAACCGGTTTGAGGAGAGTGGGGTGGGGGTGGGGAGATGGAAAGATAAGGAGGAGCAAAATGAGATTACGTGAGTCCTACTGTGCCCTTAGGATATTTAAGTAGAACGATAATCTTTTCTGAAAATACTGTCAGTTATTTATAGTTTTAATTTCTGTAGAAGAAAGTATGCTTTCAAACTTGCATGTGTGATAGCACTGGTAATGTGTCACAGTTATTCATGCAAGTAAATATCAGAAGTGGGGGGGAATTAATAATGTCCCTGTTTCAAATTTTCCAGGAAAAAAAAGAAAAAAGGTGTCTCTTCTTTAGCATTGTGAGATAATGACATTCCCCAGCAAACTTTTTCATGGAAATAGAAAAGGCTTCTCTCCTCTGTCCCAAGTGTTAGAAATTACAGGGCTTATCTGAAACATCTGTAAAATGCAAATTAGCAGTTTGAGGACTTTCTGTAGATATGTGCTAAAATTTCACTAATTCATAAGTACTTTTTGACTCACTTTTTTTAATCAACAAAGTGAATACATCTTGTCATTATTTTGTATGAATTGAATGAAAACAAAATGTGGGTTTTTTTTTAATTGGTTGCTAATTTGATGATCTGATTTTTCTGTCATATAATGCAAGGGTGTTCTAGTAAAATGAGATTACTATTGTATAATCTTTGTTTTTCTGAAGTTCAAATATGTATCTCCTTTGTTGGTTATTTGACTTTTATGTGGCATCTTCCCAAAGGAAAAATGTGTATTAATTGTATCTGTGTATATGCCCCAACACCCCACATCTGTAGGTTATTACCATTAAAATAGCTAAAGTTGGGCCTTTTATAAGTCTTTTTTTATCCAGAGATAATACATTATAGGAAATAGTGATTTCTAATTGTTATAGTGCCAATTAAGGGCATGATAATAGATATTTTTTTTGGGGGGGGGGGAATGGTACCTTCTTTGATCACCAGTCTGTCCAAATATATCCTTTTCTGATTCTTTCTAATTTGCGATTTCTTTTTAAGTAATTTTCAAATTAGAAGTTTACTGTACTCACATTTTGGATGTGTGTATACATGAATGACAAATAAGATTAATTTCATCTAAGGCATTTACTATATTATCTTTTTATGCTTTTCAGCTCAAAGTATTACCTGTTTATCATCTACTAAAAATTAGACTAACTTAAGTTAGAACCTAAGTATTTTGGAAAAGAGTAGTCACATAGAGTCAAAATTGTAAAGCTAGAATTCCAATAGAAACCTGGAAGTCTTAAAAAAAGATGTTTGGGGCAAATGTATTCACCATTAAAACAGAAACAAAAGCACAATGCTGATACAAGAGAATATCATGGAATGTGGAAGATGGGCTGCAAAACTAGCTATCATCCCAAGACCTTGGCACAGCTAATCAACAAAGCCTCCGGGGTTAGTAGGAGAAGCTCCTAATGTCTCCATGAAATGATTTCAAATTTCAGTTCTGAGGGTTCTCTGCAGGGCTTTTGCAATCTTTTGATTTCCATGAGGAGGAGGAGGAAGGTAATGATTAGAATCTAGAAACCCAAAAAGATTTAGAAATTTAAGTGACCCTACCAAATCTTCTCTAGAACTACCACATTATCAAGATGGACTATAAGGAATAAACTAACAGATTTGAAACTCCAGGAGCTTCTGAGAAATTTTATTTGTGGTCATGAAGTAAGTGACGTTTGTGGTTTGCCAGCTAAATTGCTGTACATGGCTGAGTCTTTTGTTGCATCCTACAAAATACAAACTATTTAATTCCTATCCTGTTGTTGAATGCAAGAGAGAAACAATGATGAGTAGCTGTCTCTTGTGAATGGATCTCGGGCCAACATAGCACACGTGTCCATAACCATGCTATGTGCCAGCATGATGCTATGGACTTTAAGTCTTGAAGTGCATTTACTCACAACAACCATCTTCATTTTACAGATGATGAAACTGGGGTTAAGCAAGGGTTAGTCATTTATCCCAGGTCACAGAGCTAACAAATGGTCAAGCCAGGAGTCAGGAAGAGGCAACCAAGTTAGAGTCCATGCTCTTTACCCCGACATTCTGAGATAGCTGGGAATCTTTAATTATGCAAGACCAAACTACCAGTCCCCTTCTTTAAGACCCACATATTCTCCTGTTCTATAACCTTTCTAATGACCCAGCAGTCAGGAGACTTGCATGATGCCTACTTGGAAATGTCTGCTCATAAACTATTCTGGGATGAATTTTAGGACTGTTCAGGTAGCCAAGAATAGCAACCAAGATGGAACTCAGCTTTTATTATGAAGCCAAAGAACAATATTACTCTTTAGAAGTACAACTCATGCCAAATATTTGAAACCCTGATAACATTTCAATGCCAAGGGAAGGAGAGCAATCACACTTCTTCTGTACCATCACTAGCTCAATCAGTCTCAACGTTCTGAGACCTTAGGTGTGGAAACATCCATGATGCTGGAGAGGTCTTTGGAGCTCATCTTGCTAACGGAAGCCTCAAAGAGCAGCAGATTACTTCTGTGGAAGTCAAAGGCAAGGCAGTGGCCAAGCTAGGCTGGATCACAGGCTTTCTATGATTTAACTCACTTCTCTTCTTTATATTACAAGAAATGTTTGTATCCAATCTTACTCTTTATTCATTTGGGATGGCTTCTTGGGAAGGTATAACCTAGATAAGCTATAATGTGTGAACTTAATAATCACTCTGTACTTCACACAGGTAAAAGATGGTTAAAGGCAGGGTAGATAATCTACCAGTTCTCCCACTGGTAAAATGTCATTTCGTCCAATGACTTGCTCTGTCCTGATTGAGAAATAATAGCTATTAGTAGAAGGCTAATGCTGAGCACAGGAGGCCTCCAGTATTTAGTTTAACACTTAACTCCTTATAGTACCCTCTCTCTATTCAGTGGTTAAGTATATTGAATAACACTCTTGGATGAGATGAATAACAAAGGCTTCCAAAGAATGAAAAAGCTACAAACAAGCAAAATCAAAGCTGTCATTCATCAAGTGATATTTGGGGAAGGGGATAATGAAATCTGAATGATATTGTAGCTTTTACTATTTTTAGCCTGAGATACTACTGATCCTTCTCTGATCCCTTGAAAATTCCTTCCTAAGGTACTGTCTAGTACAGAGAATCTGTCTCTAGGGAACTGGGCCCAGAGGAGACTCCTGTCTACTCAAGAATGAGTCGACTTTGTTCATAATTTCTAATATAGACATTTCCTAACTGCACTTCAAATGTTTTGTTTAGTTTAAAGCCAAGACCAACTAAACTCTGAAAGCAATAATAAAAATAATTCTAGTTACTTCTTTTACAATTCTTACACGATTTTGAGTTCTAGCCTTGATTTAATGAAGTAAAAAGAAAAAGGAAGAAGGAAGAATTAGGAAGAGGAAGAAGAACAAGAAAGAAGGATTGCTTCTAACCTCCTGTTTATATTTGGATGTTTGTGTGTTTGTTTTGTCTTTCTGTACAGATTCCAGCTTGCGCTTCTTAAATCCCAAACAAATCTCTGACCAGGCTGCTGTGAATGAAGCTTTACTCCCACAGTATTATGAAAGCAAACACAAGCCCAGGGTCAAGTGCTTCTTTTGTTACAGAAGTTCTTTCCCACGAGTTCAATCCTGCCATTAGCATTGATTTCCATGGCTTTAATCTGGGGCCGCCTATCTCAGCTTGTTAAAGAACTGTTCAACTATGACTTCCTTACAATATTAGAGGGAAAGATGAAAAGAGAAAGGTAGAAAGGGAATAAAAAACAAAGCCACCAACTTACCTTTACCCCCTGTTGCCTGAAGCATCTTCAAATGATCCACTGTCATTTGCAATATTTCAGCTTTTTCTAACTTTGCAGATCCCTTCATTAAAAAAAAAAATACAGTCTCCTAAGTCTTTCAGCAATTAACTTGGAACATTATAGATGGAATTTAGTTTTATAGTTTCAATTTTCCCTCTCACTAGAAAATTCTAAATTTATTATCTTCATAGGGAAATCTGAATTCTTTCCAACTTTACAGGGAAACACCTAATAATAGGCACTTACCATTTTAACTTTTAAAGACCAAAAGAAGACATCAAATAAATGATTTTTAATGATAATTATATTCCTAAGATCACTCCAAAAATGTATTAAAATTGCAAAAATGTCAAACTTTGTGTTTTATTTCTACCTTGGTTAATATTACATTTTATTAGAAAGCATTCAATATTCATATAATGATGGAGTATAGATCAGTTGAATACCAACTCTGGAATATAAGGGGACAGGATTTTAGCAAATTATTGTTAAAAGTAGATGAGTCAAAAATAGAAAATAGCTCAGTGGAAGAGTGTTTGCCCAGCATACATGAGGCACTAGATTCGATCCTTAGTACCACGTAAAAATAAACAAATAAAATAAAGGCATTCTGTCCATCTACAACTACAAAAATTTTTTTTAAAAAAACAGAAAATTCTGATAAAGCCTTAAGGCGATTCATAAAAACCACCAGTAAGCAGAACCAAGAAAAAAAATTAGTTTTTTTTAATCCCTTAATAGTTACCAGCAGGTGTCACTGTGAATTTCATGATCACAAACAAAAAGGAATATTTACAACTTATTTAAGAAGCATAATAAATGTTTAAGGATTTTTGAACCTTTAAAAACAGTTCTTAATAAAATTTGTCTTGCAAATGTATTTTTATGTTCCTGTTTTTAAAATAAGGCAACCCCTGGAAATCAATTGAAATACAAATATACCACCTCAAACTGTCTCAGGGTCTGTGGGTGGCTTCTAATTTTCTGGAAGAGCTAAATAATTAAACCAATGTGGTTTTTTCTTTCTTTCTCTCTCTCTCTCTCTCTCTCTCTCTCAAAGCATTCTAAAGTTTATTCCAGGTTTCTATGCTTTATTTGTTTTGTGAAAATTATCAGCACCCAGGACATGGCAAGAGTGTTAGAATTATTTAACTCTAAAGTTTAAACACTCTTCTAATCATATTGTGACAGGGCCAGCTCTCTAGGGTTGGTAGCCAAACCCTGCTAATGGGAAAGCTTATGTTTATGGTAACTAGCTGCCAAACAACTGAGGTTTGTTTTAAGGTTTGTTTTAAGTCAACATTTAAGGAGAAAAAAAAAATCCAACCAATCAAGGGAGTGGAGGGGCACACCAAACTGTTTCTCATAACCATAGACATTTCAATATTCAAAATTTTAAAAACATTTACTATTGACATTTTAATTTGCAGCTCTTGTCATTGAAAATGCTACTAATCAAACATATAATTTTTGTATTTAAAACAAAAACAGTCTCAGCATATAAATTGGGTGTCTTTCTCTTAAAGATTCATAATCAATAGCACATCATATCCTGTACTTCTGTCAGTGTTCAACTTTTCCATGAAGATGTACAAGGAGTTTCTGTGAAAGTGACCAATAGCTAAAAACTGTAGTTTCTGGAAAATCTCCAAGGACTTTGCTGGCCTTATTTTAGAATGTTTGTGGATTCATGAAGTAAACAAACAAACAAAAAATGGAATAAACAAACAACTGCTTTCTGGTACCCTACTTGGAATTCAATTGAAAATATTTTCAACAAGGACATATGCCACATCCTTTGAAAGATGCTCTTAGAAATCCGTGCCATTAGCCACTACAGCCAGAGAAACGTCACTTTTCTAAACCACAAAGAAAGATTTAAACATTTGGCTTTCTGTTTTTCTAACTGAGTAAAATTGGTTTTTGTAAAAGAATATTTGAACCCTGAAAAGAGGCATTTATGACTAATTTGATTTTTGCCAACTTTCCAAAATGTGCCCCAAATCAAACATCATTCTATTAACCCAGCGATTAAAAATGAAAGCAAGAGGCTTGGTAAATGAATTGTATTAGTAGTATTATTTAGGAAGTAGAACTAGAAAGTTACTTCCTGGGCTTTATTTATTTTTTTAATTTAAAAGATTTTTTAGTAGTTTGAGAAAAAATGATATTTCACATATATGTTTTGAAGAATATTACATACAGCACAGTTTTAAACAAAACCACTAGTGGTGTTCATAGAAAGAACAGAAGAAAGCATGAACACTGTTACCCTAAAGGGGAAAATAAGCTAAAGAATGGAAATGTTTTTCAACTTCATGATGGATTATGTTTTTAATAGTTTTGCCACAACAAAGCATTTTATTGAAATAGCTGCTCTGTGCCAGATCAGGGCACATACACCATTATTTTAATGAGCTTTAACAAGAAACTCACATTCCCAGATGAGAGAATCAGATTCTTTGGGTTTTGGGGGTGAGGGGAGTAGCTTACTTGTTTTTCAAAAGCAGTTGGCACCAGTCGTCTCAACTCAGATAAACTGTTATTTATCCGATCCCGGCGCCTTTTCTCTATAATCTATCTCAAAGAAAGCAAAACAACAGAAGTTTATGAATACATAAATGATAAAATTACTCATAATGGAAAAACACAACTGTTATATATTAGGCTGGATTACATGAAATAAAAAGAAAAAAAATCACATACCCCTCTCCTTTTCTTTCTTGCCATAATTTGAGATGTTGTTGTTGGAGAATTTGATCTAATCACAGAACTAGTACTTTGCCTAAGAAATAGGAAGAGTATGTCAGGTGCTGCATTAACATAACAATGGTTTCTACTGGGTACTTTGTGGCACCCATTAAATATTCAAAGTGTACAATTCATGCCTGTGTTATTTTATTCTTAGTTTTTACTTCCCTTCTAATAGCCTTGCTTTGGGCCCTTCTGTGTCTTTTCAGGCAGGAATTATGCCTTTGAAATATATTTAATTGGTAATCCAGATGCCAATTCTATTGGTCCTCCCTCCTGTCAGACACACTGAACAAAGTAATATCACTTTCAAAAATAAGGATCATATGAAACAGCACTATCAAATAGTCATCACACATCAAACTGTTGCCCCTAGATGCAAACTTTAAAATGTAGAGAAGTTATTACTATTTCAAAACTTCAATTAGGAGTATCTTAAACAGGGGGGAAAAAACCCACAAATTTGATGTTCTGCACATTAACATTCCCAAAGAATAACCTAAATTACATATGTAATGACAGCGAAATTAAAGTTAGGCTTAGTACTAGGTAAAGGCTTTACTTTGAAAACGAAACCATAGCTGTCACTCAGCTTTCAAACTAAGCTTAAATCTCCAGAAGCTGCAATCCACCTTGAGTTTTTCTAATGAAAAGGCATATTTATGTTAAAAATTAAAATTATTATTTGGTCTCATAACTTTTACACTCCTTTCTAGTTTGTATCTCTTTCTCTTCATAATTCATGAATACTATGCTTCCTTATGGCTCAAATTCCCCAGGTCCTGTTATTTGTTCTCTTTCATTTCAGAAATACTGCACACACCAGGTTCCTATTACCTCACCTTCTCACTTCTGGATCTTATTTCTGAATTAACTAACCCCTTCATTCTCACTCCTCTACTGGTTTCACCTTTCACGTGACATCTTCCGTTTTTTCAGACCTCATTTTTAAAGATGATATAACACTTTAATAAGAAGACACTTTGTAAACGTTTCATGTAAGTATGGTTGCTTTTGCTGATTCCTGACTCTGATTCGTTTAGAATAAGAATGTGAAAAAAAAAAAGTTTTCCAAAGGCAGGAATAATTTCACTCTTTGAGTGACAGCTGCAGATAAATAATTAAGGTGCTTCTGGGGATGCCAATTAGAAGCAATTATCATTTGACCCGCCTTGGCTCTAAAATGCCTTGGTAATCTCCCTCTGTCACAGGAAAGTAGAGGTCTGGCTTCTGTGATCAGAATGCCGATCTTTTCCAGGCTTAAGAACTATCAGTCAAAAAAATGCCAGATTCGAACCTTACATCTGTTACTCACTCGCCTGATAGACAAATCACTCACGGTTAACCTGCACAATTCAAGCTACTTAGGCTTGACATCGTAGATTGTTTTAATTGCTCCAAAACCCAAATCTCTCCAAAAATAAAAAGTTAAATTACTTCTCTTCTCCTGAGCTATTTTGGAACTGCCTCCAAATACAGCTTCAGCGGCGGCGGGGGCATCTCCAGTAGCCGGACGTGCCTATCCCCGCGCCCAAAGCTGACAGCCTGGGACCCTCCCTCGCCAACGCCTGCACTCTCCGGTTCAGTTGCGTCCTCAGTCCTCTGCCCCACCCCTGGAGAGAAAACCCACAACTCTCGCCCCACCCAACTTAAGCTAAACGAGCGCCCACCACTTAAAGTTTCTCCGGCAAAACTTTATTCTCTCTAGCAGGACGCTGCAGACAGAAGCCTCGGGATTTCCAAGAAACCCTCGTGCCCAAAGCTCCCTGACACCCTTGGGCCCTGGCAGCTCGCGCCCAGCGCGCGCTCACCCGGAGTAATTGTTCTCGCTCCCCACGTCGATGGTCTCGTCCATGTCGCTCTCGGAGGTCGTCTCCTCGCAAGGGCGCTTCATCTCGGCAAAGATCGTTCCGGGCGCAGCCCTGCCGGAATCACCGACGCTGAGCGGGGTGCAACACCCTCCCCGCCTGCCTCCTCCCTCTCTCCCTCCCGGGACTTCTGCAGGCGAGGCTTCAGCGGCGGCGCGGTCGGCTCCTCGCGGCTCTTTCCCACGCCGCAACCCTTCTCCGCAGCAAGAGCCGGCGCCGGCCACGCCCCCCCGCGCGGGCGGGGTCACCTCTCCCACCAAAGAACAGAAGAAAGCATGAACACTGTTACCCTAAAGGGGAAAATAAGCTAAAGAATGGAAATGTTTTTCAACTTCATGATGGATTATGTTTTT